CCCATTTACCAGAAGAGGCTGTCTGCAGCCAGCTGGGAATGGAGATGTGGCTGCTGAGAGACAGAGTCCCCAGCTCACAGATGGGAAAGCAGAGAGGCAGCACTAAGCAGATGGTGGGGGCAAGGGACAGCCACATCCTCCCTTCTAGCTGCAGCTTTTACTAAGGATGAGAAAGAATTGCTCATGATTTTCAGCCTCGGAGCTGCACTACAAAAATCAGCAATGTGCTCCAGGTGCTTCCCACTCAAAGGAGGCTTTGCCAGCCAGCCATATGATGAGAAGCCATGGCAATTCAAAGCTTCCAAAGTGTCCAAACAACACAAGTACAACCCCAATGAACTTCCAGGAATTCTTTACTGAAATTCTCCTTTGTTCCATGTTCTCACACCATAATCAAAAATGCAGTGACTAGGCAGAACGGGTAATATCTTAATTTTCTAAATAATCATTGAATAAATATTCCCAGTAACCTACCAAAAAAAAAAAAAAACAGAACTCTCTCCCCCATACTTAGATATTTGACCTGGTTCACTAATGGCTTGAACATAAAGACAGTCTCAGTGCCTGGGAAGCCAGGCTCACAGCTGCTCTGGATCACCAGGCTGAAACCGAGCTGCTGTTGCACCCTGCTGAACCTAACCCACCATCTGTAACAGGATCCTCTAGCTCTTTTTTTTCTATTTCTTTTTTCTCTCTTCTTTTTAAGAGCTGCTTACTTCACAAGTCATAGCTTTTTCTCTCAAGAACTTGCCACACTACATTAAGATTTCCAAAAGCAGACAGTTTACATTACATGAAATACGACAGTGGCTACAGTTCAAGAGATCTTTAACAAGGGTGCAAGTCAGTCTGGCTTCCACTGTGGGAGCTTGACACTTTCTCTAGTGGTGTCTAACTCCCACCCAGTAAAGGTTCAATGTTTTATGCATATAAAAGCAAGGCAAAGTTGTACTTACAATGTTTTATACAACCACTGATGGTTTTTCTTCCCATCTTTCAGCAGCAAGAAACAACAGGGAGCTACACTGCTATAGAGCAAGGATCTCCCAGTGGCCTGGTCTCACTGCCATCTACACTTGGACTGACAAGTGGGGCATGCAAATACACCAGTGGAATCCGGGGTATTTGGAAAAGGGAAGACAGATTCATACAAACCTGGATTTTAACCTGCAGTGGAGTCAAGGTAAAACCACAATTTTCACTATATAGTCTTAGTTTCCTCTTAATTTAAGGTTTAAATTTAAAAAAAATCAATCTCTTCTCATATTCCTACTTCTATTTGCAAATTCCAAGAGAGACAGGAAAAAAGAAAGGAAAAAAAAATAAAGATCTGCAGAAAATCACTTATCCCTGTTATTTTATACTATATTTATTCATGCAAAACTGCATGCAACTAAACATATATAGAGAGATTATATATGCACAGAAGTACTTTATACAGATTTATATGTAAATGAACATATTATTCTGTGGTTCACCATTATCCTGACTGATAGCATCAGAGCCATAGAAAAGGGAAAGATTGCATTCCTAGCTAAATGTAATAAGCAAATGTTTCTGAAATACTCCATTTTCTCTCCTAGCCTTTCTTGTTCTCTTTATTTCCAAGAAAAAGCTACTGTGAGAAGGATGGACCTAAGTCAATCACTTAGGTGATTGACCACTGCAAGGTCTGCCCTGATGAGAATACAGTTGTGCAAACAGATGTATGAGTTTTTTGGTTTAATCGAGCTCTAAGAGAAAGGCCTGCACTACAGGAATCTTTCATACATTATCTGGTTTTAATTAGGGGCTTTAATATCCATCAGCTTAAGTGCTCAATGAAAAGGCTGTTACTAAGAAGGTATTAGATAATACTTTTACAAATTAGAATTACTACTCAAAAAAATATAAACAGGGATTATTAGGGAGTAGAGAAAATTTAATCATAGGCAACTTGGTTTTGTTCTGACTCATACCAATAGCAGCCCTGAGCTGAATGACCACAGACTGAGCATAATCCCCAAATTTCCTACGTGCATAAAAGCTTTTCATAGCACAAGACAAGCAACAGATAGAGAGTGGAAGACTTCAGGAGCAACCCTTCTGCATCTTCTACAAATGTTTAATATCTAGTAGAACCTAGAGTTGACACTGGCATCATTTATTTGAAAAGAGAATGAGTTTTGTCATCTTTCCAGTGCCTTCCAGGCCTTCTTCAGAATATCAGTTCTTAAGGGGGATGCTGACCTTGTTCTTTCCACTGATTCTGATCAAAGCATGTCTGTTCTAGACATTCCTAAAATAAAAAACAACCACTGTTCAGATGTGCTCTGTAAGCACATTGCTACTGATAACCCTTCATTTCAAAAAAAACCCAAACCAAATAATTTACAGAATAAGGGGTAAAATTAATTATTCTAATGAGTCAGTCAGCAAACTCAGACTCCCAAAGGACCTCAGCCTGGCAGGACACCAATATAGGAACCATCTGGTCCACCACTGTACATTTTGGGTCAGATTTCTATAAATGACCGTGTTTAAAGAATTTGAAGTGCCTTGTTTGATGGTGCAATGCATCATCTAATCTTCTTGTAGATCAATTAGTGCATAATTATTTGGCATAATCTGACTATCACTTCTCATTTGTCCATTCAGTAGCAGGAAAAATGGAGTAGGACAGAAGTTCAAAAGAGAAAACCTTTAGCTGACCCACCTTTTCCAATGGTGTTGCATGCAGAGCTCCAAACTGATTGCTGCTAATTTATTAGCATTCCTCCACTGTAGTGTCTAAACAATCACATTTTTACTTAAGAGAAATGAAGAGCAGCTGAAACAGCTGGCCAAATGATAATCATGGCATCTGCACATCTTTAAACAATGCTTTGTACTAGGAAGAAATGAAGTAGGATGTCTTAAAAAATTAAAAACACAAGGGGCTACAGGAAATCTGTGACTTGTGAAGCAAAGCTATGAAGTGCCAGCACAGAATCCATTTGCTGGATGAATTGCCTGAGTCTGTTTTGCATTATAGTGCTTCAGTGCAGGTAATATCCTTGCAAATGTCTGTTCCTCCATCTACGCCTCTGTGTGTCTGTGGCCCTTGTTCAGGAAATTATTAATTCCAGTAGGAGGAAGAATGGGGCCAAATAACCTAATTAGCTTAAAATGAAGCCTTACAATTTAAAATAAATCACACTTAGCTTTGATAGAAAGGGACTAGATTGAAAAAGGCTTAATTTCATGGATAGTTACTATAGTCCCAAACACAAAGTAGATAGCTACACTAGGATAACAAAGGCTTATTATCATATAATCATAGGATATTATTATTAATGTCCTTATTATTAGCACACTTCATGCATTATGACCTCAGACCGAACTACCAGGCCCTGTATTTACTGACAGTAAGATAAAGCTCCAAAAAGCTCTCAGAAGGGCTAATTCTTAAAGCACCATTTTATCAACATAAAAGTCACACATTCAGTGTTTACAGGTGCTTTTGCACATCAGAATGTCTTTACATTTGACCAAGCAGCTGATGGCTGGATAGCAGCTATATCTGTCTTTAGAAGTTCTGGCCTGGCATTAGGAAGAAAAGAAAGGTACATGAAAGCAAAAGCCCGTATTTTGGAATCTCACTGGTGTCTCCTCTGCTTAGACAGCACTCAAAAACATTGCTTCCAGAGACTATTTCCCTTGGCATCTGGTGTATGTTTTCTAAAGATATGTTGGATGAAGAGCAATTCAGTTAGTGCTGTAAGCAACTGCACCACTACCTAACTGAGCAATTGAAGGCGGGTTTCCACAATAAAGTGTGAGTGTGTACATTAATATTTCATCAAAACCAGTCATTTTATTTCTGGCTTCCAAAAAGCAGCATCAAACAAATGTAGTAACATAATGTGAACCAGTTGGGGTAATCAATGGATGCAGAGGAAAAGCACAGGAACTGTGCCATGTATTACTGTGCGTTAATGCCCTTTAATATAAGTGGTGAAAAACAAAGAAAACTGGGAGATATGAATAATGAAGGTTTTCCAAAAGAATTAAATCTGGTGGGATCACAATATAAATAAGTATTTTGAGGAATTTACAACCATGCTGAGTTAAACTTCCTGGAGTCAACCAGCATTACTGCACACATCCACCTGCACAGACACACTATTCCCTCCTCCTTTCCCTAGCCAGGATCCATCAAAGGTTCATGCATCCCATGCCACAAGTGTTTCTGAGCCAGGCTATGAGGAAGCGCTGTCCTGGCTGTGCCAGTGTAGGTGGCCTGGCACCCCATCCACTTCTCCCTGTGGTGGGTGTAGGGGTCTGGCAGCACAGGGTGCAGTCTGAATCATCCAGCCCTTGAACTCAGATGTTACTGTACCCATGATGCCCACTCAGTCGCATAAAGAAAGTCGTTGTGGACTTGTCCAGTAAGTTAAGCTTCAATTTGTTACTTAAAAGTAACAGTTGAAGGGTACTATTTTACAGATACTACCACCTAGAGTAATACACTGGGTATCCTGCTGTAGTTCAGTCGATTTAAAAAAAAAAAAGATTCAATTTTAAAAAGTATCCCAAGACTAAAGAAACACAGCAAAATGACCCTCCAATTTCTGTAAAATTAGTTTCTAGGAAGTCCATGATGCTACATTCCCTGAAGTTCTAGAGGAAACAGTCACACAAGGCAGATGTTCTCTCAGAACCTGCCACAGCACACTGAAGAAATGAGTCATACATATAAGTGAAAGTGATTTAACAGGTTGCTTCACAGCCTCAGTTAAAAGAAAAGCAAAAGAAAATGGGGAGGCAGGCCAGCTAATTAAAAAATCCATAGGTTTCAATGATCTCAAATGTTCTAAAAACATTTTGATCATAAAAGTATTACAGCTCTTTTTCATGTAAATTTTTCAGTCATCTCTAACTAGTTGCTAGGCCATGCTAAGTAGTAAAGTATCTTTGTTTTAAAAAATTATTAGGACTTTTGTAGCAATGGGAAAAATCATATTGCTTAGATGGTTTACCTTGTTTTATTTCTGCAGGTTTTATTCTTTCCCGTGCAGCTGATTCCTACCCACAGGATTTCGACCTTTATTACTTGCTGACAACACGTCTGACAAATAGCTTTTTGCTGGTAGCTGAGGTTGAGCCATCTGTTTTTTCTCTAGAGAGCCATGCCTTATTCATAATGGCATTTTTCTGTTTTGTTCCCTGGGGAGTAGCACCTGCATGCTGATTTCCTATTTGACCCCAAAACACATCATCACGTTTCTACAACTGATCCCTCCCCTTCGTGGCCCAGAAGACACTACGCTCCAGAGGCACCAGTGCATCCTTCATCCTTGACAGCAGAGGCCAAGGGGCTTCCTTATGGATCGTGGGCAAGTTGCGATCAGCCTGTGGATTTGAGTTGGAGGAGACAACTGAGGGTATCTGAGGAGGAAAGAAGAAGAGAAACCATAACCTTGGATGTCACAGTGTGTTTCTGTATGTCATGGGGAAACAGGCCACTCTGTGCACTGCGGCTGATTTCAGCCATAACTTCCCATGTGATTCTATGTAAAGCCCATGTCCTGCTTTCATTGGGATTTAATTACAGCTCATGTGATTTATATAAAAAAGTAATCTTTGAGCTCACAAAGGTCAGGTCAATCAAAGAGCTACTTGCATTCTCCCCTCCATAATGGTTTTCTTTTATGGCAATATTTTAATTGGTCCTTTTTATGTGTGACTGTGAGAGAGAAAAGGAGCAGGAAATTCGATTTGAATTGTTACTGGACTAAGTAACATATTATCAGAATTCTGAGTCACCATCTCATCGCATAATAAATTTCTTAACTAAAAGGACATTTCAGTATCTTCCATGTTTTTTTCATTAATGCCAAAAGCAGAAACAATGAGTTTGTTTTATCACACTTATTTTAATCCAAGATTATAAATAAAATTCAGTAGAGTAATATTTGTAACTACTCTACCTAACTGGCTCCAGTAATTGCATATTTGGGGTTTTTTTCCATACAAATATGGAGAGGTTATGTTGTCTCAGAGAGGGTGAAATCTCTTGCGTGTTTAGTTTAGCAGCAGACTGTCACAAATGCAATTGCAATTGATCAGCTCTGTTCTTAACAGGATTCCTGCGGTTAATGGAAATTACTATAAAGAGCTTCAGGGCAGAGGAATAATTGGATCACTAAAAAAAAAAAAAAAAAAAAAAAAAAAAAAGAAAAACTTTGCAGGGAAAAAAGGTAGGACAAGATCAACATAACAACTTTTTTTTAAAAACATCCAACAATTTTTGAAGATCATTTTACCAGAGAGTATACCATGATGAAAGCAAAACCTTTTAATTATTTTTACAAGCCCCAAGCCACATGTAAACAATGGGGAAGAAAATACATAACAAAAAACTTTAAACATTTATTATTGTCAGGTCGTTTAAACTAACAATCAAATGTGCATCAATCAAAGGAATCATTCACATATCTATATCTTCTGCCAAGAATAACAGATTTCACTAAACTAAAAACAGTGAGAAAATTTTTACTGACCCGGTAAGTTTTGCAATGGTTTTGTCTCAGTTCTCGATGCAGGGCTATGATCCTCTCCGGGCTTGTCAATTTGACAGGAGAACCAGCATACACGTTTGAAGTGATGTGAGAACTGTGGGTGCTCTCTGCCTCTTGCTGAGAGTTTGCAGGTATTGACCCAGTCATTCCATTCACTTTGGCAGCTGTCTCGCGATCCTCTGGCTGTCCATTAGCCTGTGAAACGTCTGTGGAAGAAGGCAGTATCTGCAAGAGAAACTACAATTTTAAGAAATTCAAGCTAGATGAAGTTTTACGATGCTGTTTACCTTGGATTTAGTGCAAGCCGTTTGGATGAATTCATTAAAAGAAATATTCACAGAAATAAGCTGCAAATACACTACATTTAGCAAAATAAGAAAAAAAAGATAATATACCAATTAGTTTAAATGTGAAGCATTCCTGCATTGTTTAAAAAAGAATCCTGCATTTGTCCACTCATCCTCAAAACTAACAAAACAAACAAAAACATCTTGAAGTTTTAACTGCAGCCAAAAATTTGCCTTGGGATATCAAAAAAAAAACAAACTAGATAAAATTAGACAAAAATTAGTAATTTTAAAAATTGTCTCATGTTAGGTCTCCTCTTGAAGAATCTCAAAATTTTTAACATGATTCTTCTACACACATATTCTCTCAGTCCACACTACACAAGTAATTCAGGTTTGTCTACCTATGAACGCCCAAGAAAGTTAACCTGGACTTCAAAAGTGTGTTAGTTCAACTGCATGAACTCTTATGCAGACCCTCCTAGTCTGCATAAACATAGTATTAATGTACTTGATCTTATTTCCCCTCCACGTCAATTTTAACACCACAACAAACTATCCTTTTCAAATATCTTCACTGATGTGAAGTCAAATTTAGAGAGAAATGGCAGTTTAATTATGCACCTTTTCATAACAGCTGCAAGCAGGAATAGAAAATGTCCCTGAGTAGAAATGACTACCATAGGGCAGTAGCATTTTATCATCCAAACACAAATCTATGATAGCTACAGGATCACAGTTACATTTTTTTTCTTGCAATTACATATAAAAACAAATTTCAAATTGTTAACAACAGGTTCGGCCTTTGGGTTTTTCAAGACTTATTTATTTATTTCTAAAATTAGTATACCTGGTTATGCATTATTACCTCATTGCCTCTTGAAAAAGTTCCAGAAATGCAAATACTATAAATATTGCAGGTCAGGAAGAGTTACTTAATATAAAATACATTTTACTTAAAATAATATTAGTTTCGCTCTGTGCATCTTTAATGAGCTATAGCTACATCACTTTGTCCATTAAAAAAACATAAATCAAGGAACTCTGAAATGCCATAGAGGTGTAAGATTGCTCTTAAATGACCCCTCAAAGAGAGGGGTCATTTATTGACAAGCTTCTGCATCTAAATATAGTTCCGTTACAACATGAAGAAGAATGCACAGTGTGTAAGTTGTTGCCACTGCCCAGAGAAGAAGTCTCACTGTCTTTCAGGGGTGATCACTGTGGAGCACCCCCAGGATACACCACATAAGGAAAGGTGAGTGGTAAACACAAGTAATGAACACCAACACTGCCTTTGATCCCATTTCACCTCCTGTTCTTGGGCACGCAGTTTCGATTGCTGCTCTTCCATAAAAGACTTACTTTTTCTATGCTGATTACAGAGGGAGTCTGTGACACTATATGGATACTGCATTTATTTAGGTAATGTGGCATGAATACCCAAACATATCCTAGCATCACAGGCATAGATCAGGTGGAAAGTGAAAGCTATACATTTACATGTTCCCCTATAAACACAGAAGCCCAAGGCAGCTCCAGAAGTCCTTGGTTTCTAACCAAGGTTACGAGTGCAGCATCTCTCCCCAGCACTAACAAAAAGTGCTGGCTGGCTGAAAGCGATGCAGGGGTCATAAAGGGTAGCCCTGAAATGTTTTGAGGCATGAAGAGATTGGATCTAAAATTATTTGATGAGAATTTCCTCACTACAGGAAGCACAGTTAGAGGCATCCGTGGTGATAGATGAGAGCCAGCAGGAGCAGAACAAGTTCTAGCTCAGTGACCCATGCAAAGGCAAATCACTGTCCTCCCCATAGACAGGAGAGCTGGTAAAGCTACCAGAAAAAAACACAGCACCAAATCAAAGCTGTGACACTGGAACATGTCATTTCCAGAAAAATAATCTCCTTGCAGGGTCATTCCTTTCCTTCAACTGTTTTACCCACAAACTCTTTTGCCTCTTGGAATTAGCAAATTCTTCTGCAGCTAAAGTAGTGAAACTCAGCAGAAAGGTGGGTTAATGCAAACCCTGGTGAGTGAAGATGCTACTACAATACGGTCTGTGCTATATTTGCAATTTGGTATGATTCTCTCAAAAAGGCTCACCTTTGGTGTTCCATAAGACTCTGGGAAACACTAAAGATCATATTTTCTATAGCACTATGGATGCAGCTAAGCAAAAATTCTGTATTTTGTCTCAATGCCCAGACATTAATTTCTTCATCTTTTTTTAGGTTTGTTTTCTTTTGCTATGTTTAATTATTTTTACAGTATTGATTACAATATTGATGTTTTTTGATTTCCTCTCACTTTTCCACAAACTAGCCTTCCTAGAAAAAAATGAAAATATTGTGATATTCCACCAAATTCAAAGAGTGTAAACTTGCATAATGTGAAGTTCTAGAAAGTATTGCCATTAAAACCAAAAAACATCACTGTCCCCTAACATTAAAAAAAAAGACAGTGATGTCAGAGACAAGAATAAAATGTTTTAATGGATATTTTTCATTTTAAATTTTATCTTAATCTAAATTTTAGCATTTATCAAAAAATAAAGGGAAGTTAGTTTTTTAAAGCTTTTCTTTTTTAATCATGGCTATTACTCTACTGGCATTTACTGTTCCAGACAAATGCATGCTGTTGCCCATGAATTACCATGTAAAAACCACTGCTAGAATATCTGCAATAAAAAATATCTGCTGTATTATGTATGCAGTCAGGAAACAGATCTAAATCTTTGTCAACTAAACCCAATTTTACTTTAAAATGGCACTAATCTTGAGTATGGACCATCTCCTCAGCCACCTCAAATTCTTGAGATATCCTCTGTGCAAACAGCCATTTACATGATTATTGAACAGCTTTATCAGTTATTTCACTGGAAAGGCCAGACTGCCATTAACTGGCTTGTATTTCATGCCCTTTAGTATTTTTAATAATTTTACCAAAGGTCAAAAAACATGTCTCAGCAGTGGATTTTACCCTTCTTTAAAAAAATTACTAAATAACACCTGCTCTTTAACCCTCTTGGAATTCTAAAGATTGAAGTCACATTTTCTGTAATGTCAGAAAAAAAAAAAAAAGCCTCTTCCTGCAAAAAAAACTTCATCTTGAAAGATTCCTTGTTCTTGGTCATCATTGTCCCCAAGAGATTGAAAGCCCTAAGTTAAATTCTTTGAGGGTGGGACTCACCTGACCAAAGCATATCTTCTTCTCAATGGAATCCAACATCTACTACTCTTCCCACCTTATTACAAAACCACAGTATGGGTGAGGTTGAAATGGACTGCAGGTGGGTCATCTGGTCCAGCCTCCCTAGAGCTCATTACACAGGACCGTGTCTGGACAGTTCTTGAACATCTCCAGCACGGGAGACCCCATGACCTCTCTGGGCAACCTCTTCCAGTGCACGGTCATTCACACTTATGGAAAGTAGGTAGGTAAAATGGCCTGGATACTTCCTTGGAAGTACCTCTTTCTCCACATTAACTATGAAAATAAATAGATAAACTACCACGGATGTGATTGTCCAAAGTACAGACATCCAACATGAAATGTATCTCATCCTTAGCGCCGGAAAAGCCTCTGACCTCACCAGCCACACACAAACCATTTTAAGGAGAGCATCAGAAAAATTTATGTCAGGCCTGTTTCCTTCAAATATGATTCTCAGGAAAGCAGTAAGTGATTTCTTGGAATGTAATGAGTGGAAATAAAAACGAATAAACAAACAAAAAGCATTGTTCTACCAAAATGTATTTCAGAAGAAATCCCTTGACAGAAAGAAGAATTGAGCTATGCTGTTCAGCACATTTATTCCCTATTCTGTAAAACAAATAATTCACTGCACTGGACACATTCTTTGCCTGGAGCTTTCCATCCATAAGGTTTAAGATGACTGTATGGAAAGCATTAAAAAGCACTATCATTTATCCCTATATTCCTTGCACAAATTGCCTCTCAGCCTCAAGAAATGAGGGCAAAGAGCCACAATGGTTTCAGATCCACTATGGAAAGAATATATAAAATATATCATCAAGCCAAAGCCTTCCAGTTTTGGCTGGAGAAATTGAAGTGGATGAGTACAGCAGCATTTTCCATTACAGCCATCTGGATAGAGGTTGTTGGCTCAATCATTTGAGGGAAAGAATTAAGAATACTCCTATTTCTCCACACATACCCTAAAAGAGAGAGAAAGGGCCCCCAAATACTACAGTACTGGCTGGGCATGGCCCAAAGTACTGGCTGGGCTGTATCCAAGCTCACTTGCTCCTCTGTATAGTTCTCTAGTACCTCAAAAGCAGCATGGACACTGCCTCATGTTCAAGCCAGTCAGAATGGGTAAAGCCTGTTCCTTAAACTGCAGGTAGACACATAAACTCAGGAAGAAATAAAGCCTCCTTTTTCACAGTTCCGGTTAGTTATCTGGAACATCTTCTCTTGCATCCTACTGTTACCAACCTAAGTAGCTGTTGTAAACCAAATCCCAGTCCTTTTTGTTAGGTGTTCTGTGAACATCAATGTCTAAGACCAGTTGATGAATGCTGTCCTGTGTTCTTTTCACTGGGAAAGGCAGAAAAACAATAACTGTTAATAATGTCCATGAATTAATTCTACAAAAGCAAGAAAAGAAAGATGAGGTCAAGGTCTTTCCAATTAAAAAAAAAAATAAATCAGCATTTAAAAGGAGATTATTAAAACGGGACATGACAAAAGGCCAAAAATGGACACATTCTGTATCTGACACTGGGTATGTGAATGCCAGCTATGGCACTGTGCCCAGTTCCACGTGTACCCGCTGGAGGCAGCCCTTTTCCTGGGAATGTGTCCTCTTCAGCCACATGCTTTCCATTTTCCAAACACAAAATAAGAGAAGGTTCTAAAGTATTTCCTTTGCCCAAATTTGTTACTGCTCTACTCCATGGGGCTCTAATGGTTTCTCAATTTAAGCCTTTTAAAAGAAAAACACATCACAGAGGTTTAGAAATTAAATTCTTCATGCCTCCAAAAATTTCAAGTCCATATTAGACATACATTGTCATTCCTATGGCCCCCCAAAAGGTTATTTTTTTCAAACCTGAGAGGCAGCATTTGTTCACCATCCTGCACAGAATTTTTGCTTTCATTACAGTAACATAGGTGGTGGATGAAAAAGAAGTTAAATAAAGCCCCTTCTGTGCAATCATACATGTATATTACAATACAAACCCACTAAAATCAAATTAAATTATACTAAATTGCTCAATTAAACTAAACTACAAATAAAGAGCTTCATGCTGTACAGTTTTATGGTTAGGAAAAGTAATTCAAAATCTAGTCCTCTTTACAGGGACTTGAAAAGAATATCAAGATAAGGAAAACGGGCTTTCACAGTGAAGAGCACACCACTTGAACAAAATCATGAGATACTACATGAATTCAAGCAAATTTTATTTCTCAGTCACAAACATTTGAATGTAATGCTGGGCTGTGAAAATAATCAAGAACGACAAACCTTAAAATGTATGATGCTCTGCTAAACTGAACTGATTAGAAGTCTTGATTTAGTCAGCAAAATAAGGCCATAGGGACAAGAGGGATTTATCGTTTCTGAGGACAGAGCCTCAAACGCTCAAAGTGAAGTCTGAAAAGAAGCTCCAAAAATGATCAGTTTTGCATAACAATGTCTTCATGGTTTAGTATTTTAATTGGGATGAACATTAGGAAGAAAATACTTCTGGCAAACAGAAGGAAATGACCAACCATCCGTTGTGTCCTGAATAAGCAAAGAACTGAAGTTCACTATTGTGTTTGAGTACAAGTAAGTTTGTGATGCCCATAAGTCCTCCACTGAAGATGGAGTGTCCAAGCACACAGCTAGGGGAGACCTATCCACTCAACATGTACAAACAAAAAACAAAAAAAAATGAGTATTAATAAAACTTTAATATATTTTTTTTCTGAGAACAAGACTCAAAGTTTTTTACTGAACTACAGTACAGGCCAGGCATTGAATTGAGTAGAGTCCCTTTCCCTTCAAAGGGCTCTGGATCAGCCCTTCATGCATCACTGCAAATTTTCAGTTGAAATTCATCAGTAAGTCAAAGCACAGAGGTCTGCTGCCAATGTGTGACAGACTTCCATTTGTCAGTGGGTCCAGAAATGAGTAAAGCCAATTGCAAATCTTAAATGTAAGAAGAAGAAAAAAAAAAAGCAAAAAAAAAAATCCCAAGTAACAACCCACCAGGTTTTATATAGCAGTATTCAAATGTTAGGAATTATATAGAAGAGAAAAACTGAGGGGAAGGAAGGAAATAAGCTTTCAAAGGCATTTTATGTAAGTGGAAGTTAGGCATAGCTCTGGAATCTTAGATGTAAATTCCAGTGAGAATAAGACTTGAAAGCAAGAAATGAAGCCTCAAAGATGAAAAGTCAGTTCATTTTAACATATGTCTACAGAATTCAGTACCAGATTTTTTAAACCAAAGGAATGTATCACATGAATAGAAACAGTCTCTCTTTTCTTTTTTTTTCATTGTAACCATTATTAAATTAGTAGTAGTGAAACTTGGACATTTTCTCATTGAAGTATTTTCCATTGCAAACCTGATCCATAGAAACATACAGTTTTCATGGGACCATACAGCTCTTCCTTGGCAGGAAAGATTTCCCCTGTTACATGTGGATTTACTTACCACAGACCAGAATGGTCTGAAGCTCAGTGTCGAGGTGTCCAGCAAGAGCCAGTCTGTTCCCTGCCTGATCAAAAACCCAGGCTTGAATCCCTCTGACCACTATGGTGTTGGATACTATGGGAAGGGGTTCTGTGCACCACTTTCTATGAATAGCTAAATATCTACTGAAGCAATGAATTTAATGTGGGGCCCTATATTGCAAATGAGCTCACTGGCTGTTAGAATATAGATTTAATCTAATTCTCTCCTGTTGGGCCTGCTAAGTTTTGTGATAATTAGACATTCAGGGAGATAGTGTGTGTGCAAAATATTTTGATATTTACTGTATTGGGAAGCTTTACTAATGCCCATCTATCACAGCAATATCTGAGAACATGGTCTGAGAACATGTCTGAAGGCAGTGCAGTACTGATTCCCTTCTGACAGATGAGTTACTAACTACTGTCACCTAAAACACTCCTGTGCAGTGTGAGCTCAGGTGAGACAGTGGTAGATCCAAACTGGAGGTACTCAAAGGAGACACAGACACAGAGTGCTGTCCCATCCTGCAACCAGGAACCAATCTACCTTTTCCCTTAACATACAGTTAAATTACTTCTTGCCACAGGAACACATATGACTGAGTGATAGCTTGCAACACTTCATAACACTGTAAGAATAAGCACTGGTAGCATGATACAGAATACCACTCAGTGTGTAAAAATATAAAATAATCAGAAAAATAATCAGAAAAATTTACTACACTATATGCCCATCTTAAGCATCCTTACTTCTGCTGGTGAAAAATGTCAGTGTCATTAAGATAAATTATTTTTATGTGCTTATTTTGTAGTGCCCTGTGTTAGCTGAAGTACAAAATATAGTATGAACCTGTATTCTGTTCTGCTGTGGTAGGCACCCAATATTATACAAATGTGTAACATACAGTATTCCCCCACTTTTAACCAGCAAGATTCTACTTAAATACATTTGACACAAACATTGCGAAATACTGTTTGGCTACTTTTGCAGGCTTTGTTTAAAATAATAAGAGACAGAAAATCATAAGGAAAAATAGAATTTGATGATCATTATTGAAATATTGCCAGGGAATTCCTGTTTCTTCAGATTTCCAGATTCAGATTCCTGTCCTTAAGAATGTCTTCAAGTAGGTGCTACTCCAAGATTAGGAAGTATATTCCTAACATCCAAGCTATTAATGACAATGTTGAACAGAACCAGGTGTGAAACGATACATCCCACTTTTCTCCCACCAACACAACACAAGTGACTAACTCCCTTTCAAATACAAATGTTCACTGACTTAAATCTTAAAATGATTCCCTGTAGAACTTTTTTTCCTGATTTCTTCAGAAATCTGAGACAATGTATTGTACAGGAAAAAAGTAAAATTCATATTTAAAGTGAAATTGAATAATATGTGCTGCATTACCCACTCAGATACTTTGTCAAAATATCAGGGAAGTGTTTTTTGCATGGAGCACTGATGCATTTTGCTATAAACTCCAGAAATTTAAACCCTGACCAAAACAACAATAAAGTGTCCAACTCCACCGATTTGCTTGAAGAAATATCTACATTAAGTGATGAAACATATTTTATAACTACACTCTGAATCTCACTAAACACTTTGAAAATCACTATCTTAATTCAATATGAGGATCCTACAAGGAAATAAAAGCACTTACCTCTTGATCACACATTGGTGTAAAAGCAGCCGTGTACTCTGTCAGGGTTATGTCATTCACCAAGTTTTTCACCTCTTCATCAAATGCAAAGTTAATAATTCCATGCCTGTGAAATTCACCATGCATCCTCATAATGAAACTGTTCCTTTCCTGGCACTTTCGGGTGAGGCAAGCCAGCTTAGCCTGTGTGGCATGAACACATATACATTTTATGATTCTATGATTTCACTCCCTGTTGAGACTGCAAGATTATATTTTGTGTCTGATCTGTAATTTCACACGTTTTGACCAAAAGCTATAGACTGCATTCCTATGTTTCTACGCCATCAGGTGCCTCTGAACCATGCCAGAGCAAAATGTGTGCACAGATAAACCGAAAAGAGATGTTCCCTTTCCATGTGCAAGGTCCCCCTTTCAACAGGCTGAAGAATACCCATCACAATAACGTCAGCAAGCCCTTCCCTAAACCTGAAGCCCAGTAGCACACAGCTAAGTTAGGGACAACTGCAGAAGGAGGCACAGGCACAGAAACTTGTGAGCAAACCTTTGTGTAGGTCCTGCACTGGCGTTCAGTAAAACACAGTACCTTCAGAGGAGCTAATGTCAACTTCACTTCAGACTTTCTCTTCTCAAGTTCTTTTTCCTGAAAGGTTGAAATATATCCTGCATTAATTTATTCAAGCATCACTTTAAGACATTCTGGCCATTTTTTGATATTTGTTTTAGACCTGACTCTGAGGTCTACACTTTGTGCATTTGTGTGACCCTGTATCACAAACAAGATGAAGCAGTGTAAGGAGTTGGTGGTACATAGATAGACTCTGGCACACAAACACTGCCCTACTCATATTAACATAGGTCTTATGAATTAAAAAAGCTTTTGGATGTTCTTGGTTGGAGCCTTATTTCAGTGAGGTTATTTCATCAAAGCAGCATCACATTAAAGACTTGATATCCTTCATTATGCACTCGTGTTCCTATTTACTTTGTGAATCTTTCAAAACACTCTTTGGGGAAAATTTTCACTTATCAATACTATGACATAAAATTAGAGAAGTGAGGAGGGATTATTCACATGTGTATTGTTCACTGAAAAGTGAACAGCAACAACTTTCTACTCTAACGCAGCTGATGCAGGTCCTTTCTTAGGAAGTGAACCAGGCTGAGCCAGATGACCTTGTCTTACCTTGTATTTAAAATGTTTATTATTCATGGTAAACCTGCTTTCTGATTCTGCAGTAAAAACACAATATCTTGCCAAGTAAAATCCACTTCCATTATGAATCTATACAGTACTATTTGACAATAAAATACAGATTCCTCTGCATTCATTTTGCCTGACAATTTGTATTTCTATAAAGTCTACATTAAATATATTATGTGCATCATAAAAAACTCCTTTATGAGAACTCATTTATGCTGAAAGAGATCATATGGTTCTCAGCTAATAAATTGTGGCTGGGAGAATCAGAGTAGGCAGAACAGGAGAGACATGTCTACATTGCACTAGCACTGAGAGAATAAAAGAACTGGCAGTAGGTCCCTGCACTGGAGACACTCGATTCTTGATGAGACAGGGAACCACACATTTTGCTGATGCAATAAAACAATTAAGACTTGTCCATTTATACGGATAGTACATGTCACCTTTTACTTACCTACTATCTGACATGCACCATCCATCACTACAGACATCAGACACAACAAAACAATTTCATTTTACCACCCTTGTTCTTCTAAGAGGCATCCTAATCAATGCCTGAGGGAAGTCACTAACCCTCTGTACAGGGCTGGTTTAAAGTAAATCACAGCACATGACCAGGCTAGGAAAAACAAAACAAAACAAAACAAACAAAGCACCAGCAAACAAACAAAAAAGAACAAAACAAAACTGTAGAACAGTTGGATTAATGTGGAGAAACTAGGATGAAACTTGTTCCCAGTAGGGAGAAGACAGTAATCTCTTATGTTTCAGAGTACATATGGAGGAGAAGCATCAGGATATGAAGAACAAAGAACACTATTGAGAAAATGCCATTTATGAGCTGTTTCAGAGTATGATGGGCAATTCCGCTTTGGCTCACAAAGCAACTCTCATCCCTTTTCAAAATATAGTTTCCAAGAAAATAGGAAAAAAATCTAAGGAAAAAAAAGTCCTAGCAGGAATTTGTTTCCACTCAAGAGTTCAGTAGCTGTAATCAGACTTACAGCAGTAGCTTTAGTTTCACATAGTAAGGCAGCTGCTTTACAAATGTTAATATACCTTCTCTGGTTTGCCAGGTGAAATATAATGTAAAAGTGTAAAAACTGCTTGGGTAAGTGTAATTGTGTATACATGGGGTTGCTCATCAGAATAACTATATCAATTACCAAAAATCCTACTCATACACCTAATTGAAATGTTAATGAAACTCTTAATATATAACCCTAGCAGCTGGAACATGAAAAGTTAGAGAAAACTCTATCAAAATTCTATTACTAGCTCACCATTTCATAATGTGACATAGTGCAAGAAGGGACTTGAGAATGTTAAAAGTCATGACAATTTAAGCCAAGGAAGTGGCTCTGTAAAATAATTTTAGCATCACTGCTTTCATTACACTACAGGGATTAGAGCAGAGACTGAATTTTTATGATAGTATATCATCTTTCCATAATATCGACCACCCAGGCAGTTTATATCTTTTCCTTATTTCTCTGAAGTCAGGGGTACTTTCATATGCCTGGAAACCATTTAATTATCATCAGACTCATTCCCAGGACAGAAGACTATTTTGGGTTTCGCTTTTGAAAAGAAAGAGGTAGAATCTGAAGTCTAAACTCACGTTTAAGCACACAGAAAACAACACTCTGATACCTTTTCACATAGCTGAGCCTGAAGGAGTTCCACTTCATTCTGCAGGTTGTAAAACTGATTTTCTAATGCAGCCTGGTCCCTGAGCTGAGCTTTCAAGGTCAGCACTTGCTGCTGTAATCTCATACTGGCTATTTTATTCACCTCTTTTTCCTGGACATCTTTCATGCTGTATTCAGGCTAGAGAGAAAATACATAGATTTTCAAATGTATAAAATAAATAAAATATTCTCAATCATGTTTTAGAGTACACACCTTCTCAATTAATATATGTACATACCTTGCACCTCAAAAACAAGAAAGCTGATAAAAAATGTCTGATTTCAAACCTTCATAGACATATAAGCCCTAATATCTTGCACTAATCTTAAAACTCTTTATAAGCAATGAGTACTTGGCCCCTGTGAGGGTACATGTTGGACTGGGATTCCACAACATTCCTTCAAGGTAAGTATTGTACTATAATAATATAATATATGGGGAAACCGGGGCCCAGACAGATTAAGTGACCAATCTATTGTCACACAATGAGTAAAAAGAGAACTCAGAAGTTACCAGTTTCCTGCTCCAACAAGAAGCTACATAATACATCCCTTGTTTTTCTACATATATTTATCTCAGCAAATTCCACTCTTACAGCTACATTTTTGTTCTGGAAGATTATTAGTAAAACTAATCAGATTTTAAGTACAAATTTCCAAAATATTTTAAAATAAAATATTTTTATATTAAAATGTAATAATGGAGGTACACATCATGTGGAAAGATAAGCTTCTGAAATTAACTCCTCCTCCCCCACCCTCCAATTATTTTTCTGCCCAATTTCATGCACTTAGATTGAAAGGATTACTGAGAGCTTTAGATTGATGGTCAGCATCATAAGGTCAGCTTCTAGAAGTGACACTGCCAGATTAAAAATATATATTTAGAATGAGGAAAATTAGAGGGTGAAGAAAGTCTCCTGACAAACATTTATGCTACTAAGACCTTATATTAAAGAAAATACTGAGTTGATACACATAACTGGTCAAGATTTCTGATAACACAGTATATAAGCAAGTCTAAAAGATTAAGCTAAAAATTCCAGTCAGGCCCATGATACGCTGTGATAAAACCATATAACTTTCTGACCAAACCTGCAGGAAGATGGTTTGATTTTAATGGTTACAAACACTGATACAACTGAGAGAGGAGCTAATACTCAGGCCTGATGCACAGCACCACAGTTAAATTTTCCCTGACTTCCTGACAGTCTTTCCAGTTTTGACACCCTTGGTGACTAAAACACGCTGAAGGCACAGTTTCATAGGGAACAGCAAACTGAAGTGATAGATCACATCACTCTGCCTGCAACATGTCACTGTAAACACAGATAGAAACAGAAACATGGCATTTTCACACTGCCTTTCCTAATGAAGCAAGTTCTCTATGCACGGCATTCGAGCAGGTCGAGCATGCTTTGTACCAAACTTTTTGGCTCCCTCTTGTGTCAGAACAATAGGAACTGCTGGACACATCAAGATGGATTAGACCAGGGCTGCAGTGACAAAAGCCCGAAGATGAGTCCGTGACATGGTATTTACCTCATCTTCTTTCCCACACCAAAAGTATGTTAAATACAAAATGGAAACATTCCCTAATTGAAGATGACTTATGGAAAAAAAAGGGTGGTAAGTAATAGAAAACAAAAACAGGATTACCAGTCTATAAAACTGCCCCCAGGAAATAAAATTATGCTAGAAAAGTAGATCATTATCTTTTTTTGTGCCAAAAAGTCTTGGTCATTTTTTTAATCTAAAAAACTCAGTTCATATTTTAACAACTTCACACAAACTCCCAATCAACACCTTGGTGTACATTAAAAAATTTATTTTACAAGAGAATTATTGAAATAAAGTCACAATCTTTGCTAAAATATATCTACTCTATTTTCTATCGTACTATTTGCTAAATTGAGCCAATAAAATCAATATCCTTTGGTTAAGACATAATGGATCTGAGTCATGCAGATAATTAGTTCTGCCATCAAATAGTGCAACTGAGGGATAAACCCAGTTCTGTGATGTACATATACTGCATCTTTGACCCTGGAATGAGACACATGTATTCAACAACTTGACATTAGTCCTATGAAGAAGTCAAATCCAAATCAAACAACATCACAATATTGCATAAATATATACTACTGATCAACAAACACTAACTTGAAAACTTTATTCAAGGCATTTAGAAGTACCAGGTTTTTTCAGAGTAAGGCTGTCCTGCACTTTTTCCAGTGTAAAAACAATCTATCAAGGTTAATGAATTTGATTCCCATGTGAGTAATAGAAATAATTAACAGCTTACTTCATTGACCAAGAGAATAAACGATAATTTCCCCAAACTCTCACCAAACAAAATTATTAAAGCTCCATTGGCCAAAAACGCCCCCAAAATCTTAATTGCTAGTTTAAATAGAACATCATGATACATTTCTTTTTATTTTCAAACAATTTGGGAGTTTTTTCTTGCTCGAAATAGATTCTATTGTTTCAATATTCTACATGCCAATACATCACAATGATATGAAAAATCTGTGCTTCCTTTTCAATTAACAGCCAAAATTCAGCTGTTTAAACATCAGCCTCTAGTGCCACGTAGGGTGTACAAGTTAACATGAAATAACTGCACAGGACTTCCAGGAGGACAACTACACCCTCAGCCAGGATGCCTTGAGGTCTTTAACTGGGATAAACAGCAACCTTTAGGCAACTGATCCAATCCTAGAATCGTTACATTTTCCAGAATTTGTTTTTATTTGCTTCCAAAGCCATATCTATCTAACCTATTCAAACAGAATTTGCAAATATTGTAGGTTGCTAGGAATGTACTTTTCCAGTTGGTAGAAGTTGCATATTTCTTTTTCACAGTTTTCCAGTTAAGGAGGGCAGATTTAACTTCAGGGTTAGCTGAAAAGTCTTTATAAAAGCTGCTTCCAGAAGATTACTCAGTAATTAAAAATCTTTCCATAAAACACTGTATTCTAGTGGAAACCATAAACCCATATCAGGACAGAGAACCACCTGAAAATTAAAACAGCTTTCATTTACAGAAAACCAGAATTTCTGTGATATAAGCACATTCCAATGTGATATATCACATTCTGTGATATAAGCACATGGAGACTTTCCTCCACGTGACAGAAAGATTTCCTGGATTTTGGGGATACATACTTGGACCACATGCATCTGCTAAAGACTTTGGCTCCCCATTAATCCACACCATCTGTTCACTGGCAGTGGAAGTTACTCGACAAAGTGCCTGGCATCACGGATTCATTTTGCCTGTCCAAATCTAACAATCAGGGCTAGAAGGCCTGAAATCAGGGCAGAAAGTCCAAACACTGGAAACACTGGAGACTCCTCCACCACCTCTCATTAAGGTCACCTGAAAATGACTTTGGCTAAAGATAGCATATCAAGAGTGCTATAAAAAAAATGTGAGGTGTTTACAATGCTCATGCAGAGCCCAGACCCTGGACTACCCTGTAGACAGATGGTCTACCCTGTATAATATCTTTCAAATTTATAGCTCCAACGGCTCTAGGGGCTCTACATTTGCTTCCAGTCTATTCCCAATAACAATAATGAGTGGTTCTCCCAAGGAATATGCTTTCCTCCATTCCATTTGCATACATACCATTAATTTGCAGTGCTGCTTTCCCAGCATTTTGTCCCCAGTTTCTTGTTTAAGGCGGTCTAATTCTGTGAGAACCTGCATTAAACGAGTCTTGATTTCTTCGTACCTTGTTTCAGCAAAACCAAGTTCTCTGTACCACTTCTGAGCCTAACAGGAAGAACAAAAAAGTAAAAAATTACTGAGTATAATTAGTCCAGCAGCAGTATCATTTTTCAATACCAGCTTACAGCCATGGATTTGAGGCTGATCTCCCCATCACAGTGTTTGAATTGTTATAAATTGATTAAAATAAATGGAATTACACAATACAGTACAATCTTATAAGAAATTAATATGATTCTAGAAATAAGTCCTATGGAATCATATCTCACTAGAGCTATGCAGAAAATACTAATTAAATTTATTTCTGAACTTGAAGGTACTGTGTGTATTCTGAAAAAAGTTAAAGAATCAGTGCTGTATGCACACATGATTTCAGAGATTACATCTTTCAAAGCCCTCAGAGAAAAATGAAAATAAAGATTTTATCAGCTGAGGGGGAAAACATCTTCCTGAGAAATATGTCCTGGTTTCAGCTGGGAAAGAGTTAATTTTCTCCTTAGGAGATGGCACAGTGTTGAGTTTTTGTTTCAGCATGAGAATGAAGACAAAAATGTCAAAAATGAAAAATGCAAAGAAGGGAAAAAAAAGCCCTTATCTAGGGTGCTTTCATTCAATCAATACACATTAACTGTAGTTTTGAAAAACCAAAAAAAAATACAACAAACAACCAAAACCCACAAACAAACACCTCAGTAGCTCAGGTGGATTCCTGACAGCAAGCTCTTTTCCTCATATGATAAATCATTTCTCCTCCCGAAAGTGAAGACTTCACATTATTTTAACTAAACTGAGGAAAGTACTGCAATACACAATTTCCTTATAGTAAGGAATGCACGAAAGGATTAGAAGGACCCAAGATAATTACAAAATAAATAAAAATAAAATTATCCATTCATGTTCAAATTGCAAGGTCAGAAGTCCTTTCCCTAACCATCCATTGCTCATCCAAATCTTCCCTTCATTTTAGTTGCCTTACCTGAATGCTGGGAAGTCTTATAAAGCAGCTATCAAAGGACAATCATTTTGTACACCCACCATGGTAACCCTACTGCTCTTTAGCATACTCAACACACCTCTGGCTGCCAGTGGTTTGTCCACAGGCAGTCTGAGCAATGACTGTTATTGCATGAAACAGTCCCACAAATATACACTTGCCATAAAAGCAATACATTCTTCTTAGATATGCATAGAGAGGAGATTGATTAATAAAAAATAGGAATGTGAAAGCCAGTGCATTCGAAAAGGCACAACACTGAAAGCTTCCTCAGCTGGTGTTCAAACTGCAGATTTACTTCACTCAAGCACAGGACTCACCATCCAAACAAGTCTCCATGCAGGTGATGTTGGACTCGGTGTTTACTACACAGCTGTCGAGAGAAGGAGCAGCATAAATGCCCTGAAATGCCACTGGAAGTAGCAAAACCCCTTGACAGTGTCAGATTTTATATGATTTCGCTTCTCATTCAAAAAAACTACTTTGAATTTAGGTTTGCAGTAATTCTCAGTGCTTCTACTGGTTTCTGCTTCTCCATATTCCCAGTGATGGGGGGGGTTGCCCAGACACGGGAACAGCAGGTAGTTTGTTCTGTGTGCCTTTATTAAGCACTCAGCTTCTGTCAAAGTGTGCTGCAGTAATGCTTCACTTGAATGTTCTGGCCAATCAAGAGCAGCTGTGCAGTTCATCACTTAAAGATCAAAGAAGTACATTTTGGTTCTGCAGATCAGAGACTTTTGTGTTTCGTAAAAGAAAGAAGAACATCCATGAAAGAAAACATGAGGGAAAACAAATCTGGTCCTCAGAAGTACAATAGAGTAGAATGTTACCTCTTTTTTTGATTTTTCTAATTCCTTCTGCTGTATTTTTAATTCTTCTTTTGCCTTTTCAACTTGCTCTTTCATTGTACTGTAGCTTTCAAACATGCTGCCCTGGAAAGACAACAGAAAGACGTGACTTCTCTCCCCTGTACAAAATGGCACATAGATGTTTATAGAGCAATAGATGGTTTCCTCCTAAATTACTAAAAAATATTTGCATAAAATCAAGTTATTAGACATAAATATTTCCCTGTTGTTTATTCTCAACTGAAGTAATAATTCTGCATTTGCAAGAATATAGTAATATCCACAGAAATTCACTGTGGTGTAAGATACATGACTACATAGGAAAAATGTGGATGAGAAATCCACCATGAGTAAAAATGCTGTCTTTAGGTATGTGTTTCATATGTATCAAAACAATAAAAAAATCAGACCCTATTAGAATACCAGTTAGTAAATGAACATATGTGCACTTTTCATTAAGACATGATGTTTTCACCGTTATAACAGAAGTTTTCTTCTTCTGGTAGGAGAACTTCTGGTTAGAAGTAAAAGCTTCTCATAAAAGCTTTTACTTTTACAATAAGATAAATAATTTTAAAAATGCCATAGCAATGTATTCTTATCAGCATTATTTTTAAATTTCTAGTTTGCTGTATCACTTTAAAATTCTCTAACACAATATTCAGAAAAATATTCTCTGGCATTTTGCCTTCTATTTCAGAGTTACCTTTAGCACCTCTCCAGCATGTGGGAGGTTAGGACATTTTCTGCATTAAAAATTAATTCAGCTTTGTCCTCCAAATGACTTTTATATCTCCCCCTTTCTTTAGAAGATACTGCTTCATAACACTCCTTCCTGTTATTATTTACCTCCTTCCCAGGGAAATAGTTTGAAGGATTTATAACCAGAACTCCTTCTTCTTCAGTTTGCGTTACACTACACACTGTTTCAAATTTCTTTGGCTTAAGACCATGTTGCTGACTTTCTTCTTTTACTTTTACTATCTTTTTCTTTGTTCCCAAACTTTTCTCTTTTCTCAGCTCTTCATAGGTGAAACCCAAAGAAGACACTAATTCTTTCAATTTTTTATTTTCTAAAATAAAGTTTGTATTTGCTTTCTGAAATTCATCTAGCCGCTCTGAAGTTTCTTTCTTGATTCTGTCTATCTCTCTTTTCAGTACATATTTTTCCTCCTGTAAATCAGAAATTTTTTGATAACAGCTGGTTTTGCAGTCTTGGAGTTCTGAAACCAAGGTCTTGTATTTGTCTTGCTCACACTTTATCTCTGCTAAATGTCCCAACAAAGTTTCTTTTTCACGCTCTGAAAGAGCTATTCTTTGTAAATTTTCCTCTCTCTCCTGTATTAATTCATTGTATTTTGCTACACAGTTCTCCTTGTCTTGTAATAATTTAGCTATTTCTTTGAAGCATCTGCTTCTTTCTTCTTTTAGGTCAGAAAGCAGCTGGAAATACCTCATTTTCCTTCCCTTCAGGGATAGAACACTCCTGGAAAGTTTATTTGATGCAATTGTCGATGAGTCTTTTTCAGAATTCCTGTTTTTCTCTTCAATACATGGGAGGTTCTTAGAGAAAGTTTTAACTAAAAATGTTCCTGGGGCCATGGTGTTTTCTTCTGATAAGTTACTGTAACATCCACCAGAAACCTCTTTCTCATTAAGTAAGTTTTGGAATGAAACAACGTTAGCTTCATCTGCTGCTAAAATGTACTGAAAAGATGCATCCATCTCCTCTTCCAGGGCACACATCATCTGAGCATATCTCTCATTCTCCTGTTTTAATATACAGACTTTTTTGGAATAATTTTCATTCTCTTGCATGAGTAGAAATATCCTGTGAGAACACACAGCCACTGCTTTTTCCAGTACAGATATTTTCACATTACATTCATTACAGGCTTCAAGTGGTGACAGATGACAGAAACACTCATAAAAACTGCTTCCTGGCAGGAATAGTTCGCCTAGGCACACAACACTCTCCTGCACAGGAAACAGTAATTTTAGTGGATACCCCTCTTCATCTGACCAAAAGAAATTCTGAGAGTATGCATATTGCACGTTTTCAGCAGCTATTTTTTCATATGAGAAATTCTTCTCATTTGGTTCACATAGTCCCAAGGTCTGGCCTTTCTTTTCTTTCACGCCAATATTGCTGGAGGGGTTCGTTTGGTGAGTTGGTTTCTGAGCCTGCACTCCTTTCTCTTCCATTTCAATTATATCTTCTCCATTATATCTGCTATTCACATCAGAGATGCAGTTCTCTGAGATGTTTTCTTCTTTCTCCATTAGTTCAAGACTCCCTTCAAAACACTTCTTTAAGTCTTTAAAATTAAGAGACCAACTTTGGACATCCTGTATGCTACCTAGTCTCTCTTTGGCTTCCATTCCTTGCTTCTCAGGCCTGATAAATTCAATTTTATGTAAAAATTTAGAACTTTCCTCAAGAACGCAGGTCACCAGTTGTGGCTGGGATTTCTCAGTCTGTATTTCTTCTCCTTTAGCTCTCTCTCTAGAGATTTTTTGGCGATACTTTTCATCACCAACAATTTTATCCAGACATCTATTTTCACTTAGGCTTTTTGGTAGAATTTGCTTGTTTTCCCAATGTTTTTCCATGTTGTATTTTTCTAGACATGCTGTGAAAATTTCAGTCACAGTGGAAGGCAACTTTCCACAAAGTACAGGAACTTTGTCATAAAATCCCCCTTCTGCAACAATGCAGAGGCCAGCAGACCAAAGATTAGTATTTGCCTCACAGAAACTTGCACTCCTCACTTTCTCCACAGTGGTGACAGCTGATGAGTGGCAGCTTTCAGGTTTGAACCAAGTAAGCTGGAGCTTCTTCCTCATCAAGTGTTCAACCACAGAAGCAGGGAATGTCTTTGCTGGTAGAGTTATAGCTTGTTCCTTCAAGAGAAAAATGGTTTCTTCACCTTTGGTTTTCTTACTTGTCTCATCATCAGATAACTTCTCAGAATAAGGGGAAAGCAGTCCTGCTGCATGATAAATTGGGGGACACCCAAACAAAGTGAAACTATCTTCTAGAGTTCCTGCCCTCTCTGTTCCAAGGGTGACCTGGTGATAGCAAATGAGAAATATTTGAAGCTGAAATATACAGGCTAAAGTATGTTGCTAATCATAATATATTCTTTATTTCATCCATAAAATACTTGATTACACACAGATGAGAAAAAAATATTTCCATACAAGCAGTTTCAAATTATTTAAAGATTTGTAATGAGAGTAATGATACAAATAAAGTTTAAGTAAGTCATTAATTTTCTTACTGCACACCTGTATTCATCCTGTATAGCATCTGTAGCAGCTATGGGGTAAAGCTACTTCACCTTTAAATGCACCAGCTCTTCACTCTATCTCAAATTTCCTTTTTTCTCACCTGCTCAGCCTCAGTTAGACCAGTAACTTTCACAAAGACACTGGAATTGCCTTCCCAGACTGGTACAGATTCTTCTGGTAGCTCCTCCATCTGCTTTAGTCCATCATGACTACATCCTGGTGTTTCTGTTATGGTAAAGCACTGGAAAAATGTAATGTCACTCCCAGATAGTTGCATAAAAAACAAACTTGAAAACATCTGAGGAAATGTTTTGAACAGAGAAATATTTTAGTGATAGCATGCTCAAAATTACCTTCTTTACCAGCAGCATACACCACCAATGATACAGACAAAAGCTCAACATTTAATAAAAAAACAAACTTCACAAGAAAACACAAATATTGAGCTCTAAAATAAAGTCTATTTGGGGGTTGCCCTTTCCAGTTCTCAAAGTATTTAAAAATGGAAAATACATCTCATTATGGTGGGCAGGTGAAAACTTATTGGGTTAAACTTAGAGGCTGAAATTATTCAGTGCAGGTCTACATTTGCATATACTGAAATTTGCTATAAAATTCCCATTAATTTATGTTGGAAGAATTTACCTGATACAATTTATCAAGATTAGAGGTTTCACATTGTTTGATCTGAAAAGCAAATCTGCTGCACATCATTCCTGAACACTATACTTCATCCAGGACATGCAAAGTACCCCAGTTATTGTTTCACCTTCCCAAGACATAGGTTACAAATTAGGAGGGTTTTTGAAGGTTTTACACCTTCTAAGTCATGCACACCTCATGAATGAAATCATCTTCACTTTAATTGCACATAAATAAAAGCAAAACCTCCATTTTGTTTGCATACCAGACTCTTCAGAATGTAGCAGCACAGCTGGAGTTTGAGTAGCTCTGCTTCTGAGTGAATCCAAGACTGGTCTCCATTTAAGATTTAGAACTTCATCCTGAATTAGATCTCCATTCTTAATGGGAAAATGAGGAGGACAAGAAAAAAACCACACGGATTATACACATATGGTGTTTGGGATATGAAAAACAGGCACATAAGCTTCCTTTGCTATTTTACATTCAAAAGGCCCATTGTTTCATTATAATTGCTATTGTTTCAGACAATTTTCTCATTCCGACATTTTCTAGTAAATGTCATGGATGTAAACTTTCCCCTAGTGTTTCCTCCATACTTTAAAAAGAGTTAAGGAAGAAAACCTGAGTCATAAGCATGTAATACGTCAGATAACAGGTGAAACACTGTGACTAATTTATATCCTCATGAACAAAGAGAAAAGAAGGTCCAATCAAGTAGGGAATGAGACTAATAGTTCAGTGCCCAGCTACAAAGACAAATGTTTCTAGGCTGGAAGAATTCAAAGTTGAATAATCATTCTTAACAGATTTTTTTCCCATTGATAATTTAATTGTAACTTTCATATTCTGTTCTCGACATTTATCTTGACTCCCTGATTGAATCTGGAAATTGAATCTGATTTTCATCTTCCTGATGAAAAGCAGATACTCCTACTTCTTGATACACAAACCACATTTCACAGGCACTGTGCTCATTTTCAGTGAACGGAAGACTCAGTTTTGATTGTCTCAACAAAACACTTAATCAAGATGGTAACCAAAACAGCAACAGCACAGAAATCAAGCCAACAAAGGCACTTTTGTCCTCCTGCACTGCTCTGCATCAAATGCCAGCAGAAAACAAGTCTGGTCCCTTTTGACTGAGCTGCAGCTTTAAAATTACATGTGGATGGGAAAGGCAATGACTTCCAAGTATTTGCAGTGAGTCAGAAAAGGCCACTGATTTTCCAGAGGATCACCAGTGAGAATAATATTTACTTCAACCCAAGTCAGCTACTTCATTATTGCACTCTGTTATGAGATCTTGACTGGGAGGCATGACTTAAAACCACAACACTTCCAAGATTTATTCCTTTATTTTCTCAGTAATATTGAGTCATAAAATGGTTTAGGTTGAAAGGTACCTTAAAGATCATCTAGTTCCAGCCCCTCTGTCATGGGTAGGGACACCTTCATCTAGACCAGGTTGCACAGTCCCCATCCAACCTGGCCTTGAACACTCCCAGGGATAGGGCATCCACAGATTCTCTGGGAAACCCATTTGAAACTAATGCCAATTAACTGAAACACTGATTCCTTTCTGGAAGTTTCCTTTTATTTCTTCACAGATATCAATTCATTATTACTATGTGGGTACTGTCAAAAGAAAATTACACATAATGATGTAAAAGATACAACACTTGGATGGCCAAATATCACACTGTGAAATCAAGACCTCAGCAGTTATGTGAAAGCAGTAGGAAGATGCACTGCTTGGTGTTTCATATTTATCCTTCATTTCAACAGACCCCTAATGCTCACATCTAGAAACTGTCTGATAAGTCAAGGCACAGCCACGTGGAACCAGCTGTCTTTTTTGTTTGTTTGGTGCATTTTTTGTGCAGGCATAGGCTGCAGTTGGAATACTGCAGACAGGATTCTGATACTAGGCTTGGAAATTCAAATTTTTGACAAGATTTATGTGCCTACACCCCTCCATGAGATTTAGTTCACCTCTTGGTGCTCAATCTCATTGGATATTGTATTATTGAATGAAGATCCAGTAATGACTAAGGCTAGTCTTCAAGAATAACTGATGTGACCAGCATTGAATGACATGGTATTTATTGAGAAATCTCACACCATGTGTATTTCACAGGAGTCTGATAAGCCTGTCTTCACAAACTACTTTTTTCCTGGATGTGAAATAGGCAAATGATCCCATTCACTCATTCATTGAACAATGTCATACAAGCAGTTTTCTAGGAAAGTAACACCACGAAAATCTTTCTTGTGTTGCACAAGATTTCTCATTTTTATAGCTGTTGATGGAGTACGATGAGCTCAAATAGGAGTTTTCTTCTAACTATTTTGACTTAAATGCTAAAAGATCAAAGTGATGAGATTAAGAAATTCTATTTTATTAGGTGCTAGTAAAATTACAGATAATGGGGAAAAGCCCTCTTCAGTTTTACAGAAAAACACCAGATGTCTCCCTCTTCCTTTTATCATAGATATTGAATTTTTTTCCCTGCTATCTCAAGTCATTTTCTGCTAGAAAAATCCAAGTATATTAGTAGCACTAGAAGAGGAGGAAAAGACAAATAGAAATGCAGAAGGCACAAGATTTGCTGCTGCTGCTACACACAGCATTCAAGGAACACTACCTATTCTACAGCGGACCAGAGTAAACACAAATTATGGCATATTCATTTATACCAAAGACTGGGTAACTGAGACATTGTAACCTCCTATGGCAAAACAGATGTAAATTGAGAAGTACTTAGAAAAGAAATGGTTAGAAAACTTTGTGTACAGGAAAAAGATAACCTTTTATTAGAGTACAGCACAGAAAGAAAGACATTTGATCCTTTGTCTTGAAGACTTTTTAGATTAGTCTCAGACAATTAGTCAGTTGATACATCGTGCTTTCACATCTTCAAATATCCCCACACTTATTTTCTCCTTTTCTCAATTCTATCAAACAAATAGTAATTCTTCACTACTTTTCGGGCTCTGAAAGGCCTCACTCCTCTTGATTTTAGCTGTGCAGTCCCCTCATAGTGCATTTGCTTGTTGCACCTGTTTACAACTCAGTGCAAGTCCCTCTAGAAGTATCTTAAAATATTTTTAAAGGGTATTCTTCCTTCCCAAGAAAAAGTGAATACACTAGTTAAAGGAACTACAGCAATGGTTCAGGGTAAGTGGTTGGTCTTTTTGCCACCTTGAGGCAGCTACAGAGACAGGTGCAGTGAGGTGCAGCTTCCGAGCTCTCCACAAAGGTCACCCATGTGCTGCTGGTCACTGCAGGATGATCTTACCACCCTTTCTCTCTCACCCAAAGGGAACCTCCTGGAGCTCACTGCTTTGGGGCTGTAGAACCACTAAATCACCGTGCCTGCAAAAGTGCATTCAACTACCAGGTTAAAAAAATTGTCTTTATTTCCTCTAGCTTTTACAGACTAAAGATCCCCTCTAGCTTCTCCCAGTTCTGGAAGCACTCAAGTACAGTTCTATGGTCCTTCTATACGAAAGGAATTTGTTCATGCCCATTACCGCTCGGTTAAATGTAGTTAAAATCAGGAGAGTTCTTGCGATATCAGGTCACAATCTGAATGAAGTAAGCTGAGTGTGAGGCTTAGCTGATTCAATTTAACAAATTCTCAGAATAAAAATACCCTCCACCTCAGTGGATAAAGAATAAAACTTTGTTTGAGTCCACTCTGTGAAAAGAATTGTTCCTTGTCAGCAAAATGAATTGGCAGAAGCTCAATGCCATACTACAGCATTTCCAGAGCTTTCCCATGCAGTGCTGGGGTGAAGTGCTTGAAGCAAACAAGTCTATTCAGTGTATTCAGGGCATATCACAATGTTACAGAGCTGCAAACCATTGAGTATCTCAGCTCGCTCCCGGTCATGAACACTGTATCCATCTTCCCTTGTTTACCATTATCCAGAAAATCTCATAGAGAAGATTTATTGTCAACTATGCTTTTTGCTTCAGCATTTGGGCATGAATAAAATGCAAAAACTCATCCAACCATATCTGTACTCCTCCATTGACTGGTATCCACAAGACAGAGGTCTCAGAAGTTCTTCTGGGTTCTACTTCTGTTGCCAACTGAGACCTTTTGCCAGGGGCACATCACTTAAAAACTTAAGGAAAAAGGGTTTGTTAAGTGCCCTCAATGTGCACCTAATAAAAGGACTGATGCAATGAAGCTCCGACTACTGATTCCAGTGGATGTGAATGAGACAGTTTGAAGTACGAATGCATAAACAGATATAAACAAAAAAAATTCAGGAAAGATAAAGTCTCATACTTTCATCTTGATTGCACATCTAATGACAAGTGTAATTCAAGGTGATATAAAGACAAAAACCAATTATATTTTGTCTTATTTTTACTTACCAGTTGACATACCAGGTCAACACTGTTGTCTCCATTCTCCAATCTTGCAAGTTGTGAGTCTTTTTCTTTCTTCTTTTTCAACATCACTGTACTTTGATCTTTTAAAGCTCTGTTTTCATCCAAAAGCTCTTCCATTTTTTCCTGTAGTTTGATTTCAGATAATTTCAAACTATAGACATGACAGGAAGATTCTTCCAATTTTGTTCTGAGGAAGTCTTCATTGTCCTGAGAGCACTGCAGTTCAGTCAGCAGGTCTCCCTGTTCTCTTCTGTTGTCCTCCTCTTTTTCCCTTAAGAACTTCAGATTTTGCTGAAATGCCTGAAGGTGGCTTTTCACATCATGCTCCACATTTTCAATACAAGTTTTCAATTCCACTACTTCCATGTCAGGGTGTTTATAACCCCGAGTCCCACTGAACGTTGATTCCAGCACCTGCTGGAGATGCTGCACCATTCCCTCTTCTATCTCGGATGTCAAAAGAGCAACATGGGAGCTAAGATCTAGGACTTGCTTTTCCAGCCTAGATACCTCACCCCGAAGGTAACATTCCCTCTTTCTCAATACTGCTGTTTGTTGTCTCTGTCTTTGTTTGTAGTGCTCAAAATATTCCGATTGGCTTTTTATTTCTTCTTCTTTTGTCTTCAGCTGCTCCTGAAGCCAATACAATTTTTCCTTTTGCTTCTTCTCTGACTTTTTTTGGTTTTCAACCTACAATTTCATTGAGTTGTATGGTTAGCATATTAATACTAAATCTCTTCTTCCCTTATTTATTTTAATTTAGCGATAATTCTGCCCTTATTTTCTGAAAACTCAGGAATGACATAAATAGAATTTTTTCTAAAGCTAGTAAAATCCTGCCTTTAGAGCAAAACTAAACTGTTTTGTCATTTCAGCCATCACAGAAAACCTCAGTAGGAAACAAAACACAAGCTCACCCCCATCTACT